CAGACTCTTGGCTCTAGCTAATTCTGTCATGCTCCCAAACCCATCCAAATAGAGCCCGGGGTCCCAGTGACAAGAAAGTGATCCGCGCTCCCCGCCTCCCCGCCGGGGTGGGGGAGTGGAGCGGGGCGGGGAGGGGGGCCGGACCGCCTCGCCCTCCCCGCGCCTCCACGCCCCCAACCTAGCGACGACCGGGGGCGGGGGCTGGGGGGGGCTTGGCAAACCCTAGCGGCCAGAAACCCGGGAGAGAAAGACTGGGAGCGCGGGGAGGGGGGCAGAGGAGGCGGGATCGCAAGAATGAATCAACTTTTCGCTCGCGTGTGCGCGCGGCGGGGGGGGGAGCGTGCACGAGTGCGCGCGGGTGCTTGTGCGAGCCGGCAGCGGGGACGCGCCTGTCTGGGTTTCCTTATTCCAAGCCTGCTCATTGGGGAGCCCAAGTTGTTGTGATTCGGGTAAGCATTGTGCCTGACCAGGCAGGAACACCCCCAGCAGTCACTGGCGGCCCTCCGTGGGACGGGAGAGGCCAGAGAGAAGCTTGTTCTCAAAGGCCAGGCGGTGGCCACCACTTGCTCAAACTCTAGGACAGGCTTCACACAAAAAGCTAATTCTTCATACATAGAAGTAAGCAGTAAAAATGATTTTTTTTGAAAAAAAAGCTTTGGAGTACTAGAATATTATTTAATCCACTGTACGTAATGATTGTTGTTATTAAGGCAATTATTGTTTTACCCTCGGAAACAATGAAAATAAAGCTAGCAGGGACTCGGAGGTGAGGCTAACAGTGCATTTTAACAGACTGTTTGGAGCACTAGGTGCTAATGACAGCAGTAATTAAGGGTCCTTCTTAAATCAAGTGGAAAGATTGTAGATTTCATGGGCTAACACTATAGGAAAAACACAGCATTTCACAGTTTGTCATGACCAAAACAAAAACAAGCAAAAATAACTGGCTGACTTTATTGAGGAATATAAATCTATTTCAGTGAATTCACAGTAAGTGTAATTAAAATGGAACAGCAATTCCGATGTAAGCTTTTCCTTGTATTTTGGCAAATGGTCTCTCCAGTCATGGTATAAAAACAATAAAGATCAAATATTCTGGCCTCTGGACAAGAATGTTTGTTTGTTTGTTTGGTGCTAGTACTAAGCCTTGAACTCAGGGCCTGGGCTCTCTCCTTAGCTTTTTTGCTCAAGGGTAATGCCATCTGAGCCTCTCCTCCACTTGCAGCATTTTGATAGAGATAAGAATCTTACAGACTTCCTTTCCAAACTAGCTTCTAGTCAGGATCCTCAGATCTCAGCCTCCAGAATAGCCAGGATTACAGGTATGAGCCACCAGTGCCTGCTTGACTCTGACTTGAAACCGTTGCATATAGACAAATGGGAAAGAAAAAAAAAACTGAAATGGAGAAATTGCTAGCATTATCAATAGGCCACAGATTTTGATTGTGAGATGTTAATTATAATGCATTTTTATATTATCTCAATAAATCATAGGGAATTAGTGTTTAGGGTAAAAATACACCCTAGTTTTCTAAAATAGTCAGAAATAAAAGAACTTTGGAACTTATGCATTAGGCATGAGATCTGATTTATACCATCTCCATTTCTTGGCATTGCAGATTAGCATAGGATGCTATTTCTAACCTCATAAAGCCAGCCATCAGATGCTATATTTTTCTTCCATTAATCAGGTCTATATGGTGAACTATATCTTGAATGTATGCTGGATTGCATGGTGAAATGGACAAAATACTATTTGCCATGAAGTGAGTCTACTTCTAAGTGGTAAAAGCCACTGTGAGCACTATCTCCTGTCCAGGATACTCCCCCCCACCCCTTCTATCTCCCCCCCCACCCCCTGCAAGGGCTATTTATTTAGTTCATGAGCTGTCTCTTGAGATCAGTCAGAAATTTAAACTGAAATAGTTCTTTAGAAAATAAATGCATTCACTCTCTAAAAACATGTAGAGAAATGATATACAATTATAATAACGGGGAACACAAGGAGCCTTTATCTTTCTCACATTTCCAAGAGGCAGTCTCTCTACCAGCTGGGGGGGGGGGAAGCGCGTGGCTCCCACGGAGGGGAAGAGCTTCCTCTGCACTCACTCTGCTCTCTTCACAAATATAATTCTTTTCCTCCTCCCCCACTTGCCTGCCCACCGCACGAGACTATAACAGAAGAGGTTCTAGAACACTGGATCTTCAGTCATGAGACGTGAGTCTCTTGTGACTCAGAATTTAATTTTTCCTTGATGCTTTCTCACTGTAGGAGGGAAAAATTACAGTAGCAAAGCATGGTTTCTGATCAGCTTCATTATGTTGCCTGTCAAGGGGAAGAAAAACACACGAATTTGTATCCTTCGCTTTGAAGGGCCAGCAAGTAGTAAAGCACACCTGTGGCTGGAGGTCCCCAATGAGAACTAGAGTTGGCTGTGCTTGCACAACCACAACATTCTTTACTTGCTGGTTTTAGCGTGTGAGTGGGATATAACCAAAAGCAAAATTGAAAATGTGACCACATGAGACGTGTATACACACACACAAACACACACAAACACACGAGCCCCACACCTCTTCAAGCTGGTGAGAGAACAGTCACAGGCTCTAAGACCATGATATGGGAAAAGGAGAAAGTGTGACTCTGTGAGGGTGAGAAGAAACAAATCTTTGGGATAAGCGGTCTGCGTAATGCTCCACTGCACATGCTTGAGTCCAAAGACCCATCCTAGCTGTGTGTGCATGAAGCCGGGAATGCACAGGACCCATCTGAGTCTTGAGCACCAGGGACCTGTCACTCTGATTCCCAGATCAGCAGCGATCTAAGAAACACAGGTCTTTGTGCTAGCCATTTCTGGCCACTCAACACATACACCTGCAAGGCTGCCATTGTTCTTGGTTGCCATCCTTACTACCTCCTCCACCGCCATGGAGAAGTCCAAAATCTGAGAAAGAACCTTTAGTCCTTTCCCACCACCAGTACTGAAACATGTGCAGTGTGTTCTAAGTGAGCGTGCTGCAAAGTGAAACTTCGGACACGCCATCCATGCCGGGGGGGGGGGGGTCTTCAAAGGAGGAAAGGAAATCTAAGAAGCCTGAACAGGGGTGAGAAAGAAATTGCTGTGACTGACACTCAGACGTTGGTGCCTCTTTGGGTGCCAGGAGAGAAGAGCATGATGACTCTGCCCCCTGCTGCAGACGGTCCTGCTCGGGTCCTGCATCTCGAGCTTGAAGAGCCACGGGGGACAGTTCTGAGGATTGACACAGACTCTTGGCTCTAGCTAATTCTGTCATGCTCCCAAACCCATCCAAATAGAGCCCGGGGTCCCAGTGACAAGAAAGTGATCTTGGGGAGCAAAGTCCATTTCCAGATACTTCTGCTCCCCTAATATTGCAATCAGCACTGGCTTCGTCACCGTACCCTAAAAGCATACTTTGGTGACGAAGGCAGAATAAGAACTCTCTGCCGCCCAAGTACGCGTAGACAAACCATTATGAATCTTCTCATCAAGCGGAGTCCCAGGCACTCCTGAAGTCCCAAGCAACTGTCCAACAACAGCCATCCCTTCAGTAACTTCACAAATAACACTGCGAGCATTCGGTGCGCCAGGCACAATGGGAGCCACTGGAGAGACAGCAAGAGCACATTGAACACATCCCAGCCCCGAAGGAGCAGAGCAGTGACTGATAGAATAAAGATGGAGACAGTATGGAAGCCAGTGTGAAGACTACACACCCGAAGAGGGAGGAAAAAAACCAGCCAGCGGTTCCTTCCGGGAGAATTCAGGTAGAAGAGTGCGTGATGAGAGATGAGGTTGGGGCAGGAGCCAGACGTTTAA